TATGTCATTAAATTATTATTTGCACCTTAGTGAAACTTGTGTTTCAGTGTTTCAAACAGTGAAAAGGTTTCTGTTTGCCAGGTTTAACATGATATAAGCGATTAAAAATTCAGTTCATTGAATTGGAAGCCATTATATACACAAGAATGCATGTGTAGAATTAATGTACCTCTGGTTCCTGGGTGAGTAAATAATCAAGTTCTCATTTATTGGGCACCATGCTTAAAATAAATGTCTAAAATCTGTTTTGTGTGAAGCTTGCGTAGTTGTTATTATTATTATTATTATTATTATTATGAATTGCCGTAGCATGTTACATACTAAAGCAATAAGCCCCAAGAAGCCGTGGTTTACAGTGAATTTATAACAGCTAAGGGGCGTTGTTCCCCTAAAAATCCCCTTAGCTGTTATAAATTCACTGTAAACCATGGCTTAATGGGGCTTATTGCTTTTATAAAATGGTTATTCCATATACGTAGTAAGATTTCACAGAATAAAACAGAGCAAATAAAGTGTAATGATATAAATAAAAACGGTATTCTTCCACCAAACAATGTAGTTTCTCAGAAACAGTTGTAATTTGTGGTTGCAACAAAGTGGTTGCCGAGCAACACACAGAAGTAAACAAAGGTGTATGTTTGTAGTGTAATTTACAACAGCTTCGAACGAGGCTCAACCAATCAGAATCAAGGACTGGAACTATCCGTTTTATAAATAAAATAAAAACAATGATGAACAGGCAAGATATTGTAGTCTATGCAGTTTAAAAAAAAAATTAATATCAAGGGTGCATATAAATGGTCAAAAGATTTCTATTTCAAATAAATTCTGCTTTTTTTTAACTTTCTATTCATTAAAGAATCCTGAGAAAATTCATCACAGTTTCCACCAAAATATTAAGCTGTACAACTGTTTTCAACATTGATATCAATAAGAAATGTTTCTTGAGCACCAAATCAGCATATTAGAATGATTTCTGAAGGATCGTGTGAGACACTAAAAACTCTGCTGAAAATTCAGCTTTGCATCACATTCATAAATATAATTTTTAAATATATTAAAATAGAATATTTCACAATATTACTGTTTTATTGTAATATTGTGAATCTTGCGAACACCCAACGTTTTGAACAGTAGTTTAGATCTAAGTTGGCTGTTGGCATTTCTTCCACCATTAAAAGATACAGTTCATTGAACACACATAGCGGGGCATGTTGTCACAGTATGTTGGGTAAGTTGTAACAATGTAAACCCACCATTAAACAGTCTTTCATAGGGTTTTCTGGAGAGGGGGTGGGGGGGGACTGTATTTACCGATTCACATAGAAATATTAATATTTACTTTATTTCCAGAAGCACTGAAAAACAAATCTTAAACTAATAACTAACTAATAACTACATCTTAAACTAATAACTAACTAACTAAATAAATATGGGGGGAAACAGAATAGAAATTGTAATGTTGTACTTCATTTTATTTTCCAGATGCATGAAATAAGAAATCTTACACGCATTTTAAACTGGACTTTAGCTGGAAACTCTTCAAAATTGCAGAATATACAAGAGATGAAAAGAGACAGCTGTGTAAGAACAAATAGATTACATTTCAATTATTAATATCAATTAATATAAGTACTATTCTTAATATTGTTTTCTTAATTTTATGTTAAAATTTTTTGTAAAAACTCTCACAAATATGTCTGAAGTGGCTATGTATTCTAGAATCCCCACAACCCTACATAGTTTGGAAAATGGATGCATGGATGGATGGATGATGGTAAAATGTGCACAGCATGAAAGTTTTATTTTCAAAAATGTTTGTTTTGATTTGCTGAATTATGCCATTTTGCCCAATTACAAGAAAGTATAAAAAGAGGAAGTTATACGTTTAAAATCAAGTCCATTTTGGCAGTTGTCCATAAACACTGATGATTTTTAGTCAAGGAGATCTCACGACACAATTGAACAAGCATGATTTTAGGGCCATCAGATTGATTACATGTTTAGTACAAAGTTTGGGGTATGTTTGGTGGAGCGGAAGACCCTCCTTTCAAAAACATAAAAAATGGATACAAACATCAATGTTTTGAACAGTACACTCTCTGAAAAAAAGGTACGAAAGCTTTATACACTGGGGCAGCACCTTTTCAAAAAGTACAAATATGTACTAATATCTAAAAAACGCTGGGTAAAATACAACCCAGTGCTGGGTAAAATAGGTACAAAGCCAGCAATTGGGCTGTTTTGGCCCAGCGGTTGGGTTACTACCCAGAAGGTTGGGTTAAACATTTAACTCAACCGCTGGGTCAAAACAGCCCAATTGCTGGCTTTGTCCCTATTTTACCCAGCACTGGGTTGTATTTAACCCAGCATTTCTTAGAGTGTAATATGCATACTTTAGCCACAAATATGTACCTTTAAGGTACCAAATTGCCTTATGTACCAAAGACTGCATATATGTACCTATATGCAGTCTTTGGGGGTACATAAGGTACAAAGTTGTATTATTTTGAAATGGTACTTTTACGCTGGGATTTTACTCTAATCATCTAGTGACAGCTTTTGTTTCTTTTTCTTTTTTTTCTCTCTCTGAGAGTGCAGTGTTTATCTATACATGCTGGCTGTTAGCCGCTGATCAGAAAGATCTACCGATGTTTTTGTTTTCATTATTCTTTGATGTGATATGGTAATTTTAAGGCAAATATGAAAAGCAGACCCACCTTGTCAATGGTCGTTGCCCTTATTGAGAAAAGCTATGAATTCAATTTCTGTATTGGCTCATAGTAAACCTTAATGGTTTACCTTAAACATTACTTTAAGCATTTTTGAGTATTTGCACAATTATTGTCCAGGAAAAAGATCCAGTTCGTTGAACACACACAGCAGGGCAATGGTTGTTACAATGGGAACGTGCCATTAAGCATTTGGGCCAGAGTTTCCCACATGAGTTGCAATTTAACACATATTTAAAAATGTGATATGTTTTTTGGGTTCTTAAAAAAAGTTTTTATGAGATTGTATCAACTCTTATCTTATTTTGTGGGACAGCTATAGTGATCTTTATCAAACCTGATTTGAAACACCACAACAAATACATCATAGAAAATTTGCATTGCAATATTTGTTCCTGAGTATGATATTTGTTCTTGATTGCTTAGAATTAAAAAATATCCATACATATGCCTGCTTTGCCCTTTCTGTGTGATTCTGTCACATCTGTGGAATTCCTACGAAAATGTGTGGGGTGAAGACAAGCAATGTGATTTGAGTCATCGTGTATAATAAGCTGTCACACACATAATCTTTCATGAGGTAAAACTTGTACTCAGTTTGGTATATAAAAAGAGGTGTCTTTTGTGATTTGCAATAGTGTTCAAAGATGGACAGCAGAAAGCTTTATGGTAAGCTCTGTTTCCTTTGCATTATTCTACTGAGCATGTGTTGTAATTTTTTGTTATCTCTTTGACATTTTTTTTTTCTCACAGAGGTGTTGCTTGTAGTTCTCACATTACACTTCGTCAGGTCAAATCAAGGATGGCAAAAGACAGAATGCCTCAGAACTATTCACAAAGATGCTCTTAACTTAATAAAACCTCATGTGGAGGTATGTCTGTATGCTGGTATTTTTCATATTTGTCATGCAAGTAATTTGAATGTTTCATTTATTTAATTTTTTTTTTCAATTCTTGTTTAATGACCTGGTTAAAACTTATATGCATTTTTCCCTGCCAGAAACATGGATTGTCTTGTGCGCCAATAGTAAGTTATTCATTTCACAAATAGTATGTGCATGTTAAACGTTAAGCTACTACTAAATAAATACATATTGTGAAAAAGACAATAGAAATGATAATATTGCCTATGCTGCATTTACCTTTTGTTTTCCAGAGGCATGTAAGAAGACATCCTTCATGCATCTTTCACTGGACTTTAACTGGAAACTGTTCGGTGTTGCAGGAAATACAACAGATGATAAGAGACAGCAGTGTAAGAAAAAATGTGTTACATTACAATTACTAATAATATTAACATTCAGAACAAAAGCAGGTCCCACTTTATATTAAGTGGCCTTAACTACTATGTACTTACATCACAAAATCAGTACAATGTACTTATTGTGTTCATATTGTATTGCAAACCACTTTTGCTGCTATTGAGGTGGGATACAGGTAAGGTTAGGGACAGGTTTGGTGGTATGGGCAGGTTTAAGGGTGGGTTAAGGTGTAAGGGATGGGTCAACTGTGTAAATATAAATGTAATTACAGAAATTGATTACAGATGTAATTACATGCAGATATTTTTCAAATAAAAGTACAATGTAAAAACATGGATGTACACAATAAGTGCATTGTACCAAATGATCAATTTAAATGTAAGTGCATAGTAGTTAAGGCCACTTAATATAAAGTGGGACCCAAAAGCATTTTTAACAATGCTGTTATTACAATGTAGAATTGTAATTATCAAGAAATTACATGTATGCAATTTTCTTTTTTAGATGAAGTGTGCCTATAAACCACCCCTACAATTCCCTAGGAACTGCTCTAAGGAAACCTTCCTAAAATGCTGGTGTGGATTTATTTCAAGGAATTTATAAGCAAAGCCACTCACAAATATGTTGAAAGCTGTTACTCTAACCTAAAAAAAGGTCTAAGCTGATTGTTGGCTATGTACTGTAGAATACCCTGTATCTGAAAAGCAGTTTGGAAAATGGATGGATGATTGTACACTATGCACAGCATGAATGTTTTGTTTTCAAATATGTGTTAAACAATTCAATATTTAAAATATGTTGTCTTAGGGTCAATGCACTGTGTCACTGTGTTTATTTTTCCATATTTTTTCATTTTATGTTAACAGACTCTCTCTATGTGTAGTCTAGCTATATAGTATGTTATACAAAGTTTGAAATAAAAGATTATGCGTTTAAATTCATTCAATGACGCCTCTCTTTTCAACAAAGCAAAGGAAGTTGTGTAGGAACCTACTGTCGAGTGTTTCTTTCCGCACGAACCGTGTTTAGTGCAACACTTTGACAACAGCGGCTGCTGATACAGAAATGTGGAAGAAACTGTATTAAAGATTGATCAGGATTGTGTGTACAGTCAGTGAAGTTTAAGATTCCACGGGTGAACGTACATGAGCGACATGTCTGCGGGAAAGAAAGGAAGCGTGATCTTCTCTGGATTCAGGGCGCTGGGACTTTACTCTAATCATCTGGCGCACGTGCTTCGCTTCCATAAGAAACACAGAGAGTTCTATGTGCTCACTGCAGTCGGACAGTGTTTCCACACCTATAATGTAAGTGCAGAATAAATAAAGGGCGAAGTACTTTAGAGAACCGTTTGAAAACCTTGGTATGTTACATAACTTACCAGAAAGTAGTGGCGTACCATGTGTGTTTTTTTTTTTTTTTTTACCTGTGCAAGTGTATTCTTGAACGTACTGTGGAATACAGTGTATATTACAGTACATGAATTTCTGTGTATATATCAGTGTGCCACTATTTAAAAAGTACTGTGGCTGTACCATGGTACAGTGATGGTATGTAGACTTCTGTATCATATGTCCAAGAATACCACCATTTTAAATGTTCAAAATGCGATGGTACAACCCCTGGCAAAAGGAATCACCACACTTAGATGTTCACCCAATTTTATTTTTGTACTTTATAACAAATAAACGAGTCGTAGATATGACACAAACAATTTTTATTGAATAATTCAACACTCTGGTTATGTGAAACCTCAAACCAATGAAATTAAAATATTTTAATCAATGGAAAATTATTCCCCATATCAAGTAGAGGGGAAAAAAATATGGAATCATTCAATGTTGAGGAAAAAAAATTATGGAATCACCTTGTAATTTGCATTTCTGAAACAAATAACGGCACAAATCTAAAATGCTAATTAGGCCGCAGTTAAAAGAGAGTGCTTACAGCTGTTGGACTTGGCTAATAGAAAGGAAACATGGCCCCAACAAGAGAGCTGTCAGTTGAAACGATGGCAAGGATTATAAAACTCCTTCAAGACGGAAATCCAACATGGAGGGTGGCAAAAGAAGTTGGATGTTCTCAGTCAGCTGTTTCTAAAATTTGGTGCAATAGATAGAAAACTCAAAGCAATTTGCCTTGAAAATAGAAAATGCACAACGAAACAAATGGGCAGTGTGTGACAGAACTGTTTGAAATTGGCTGAATGAAATGGGATTTACATATAGAAAAGCCAAAGGAAAACCAGCATTAACACCTAAACAGATGACAACAAGGTTACAAGAGGCTAAAGAGAAGTAGTCGTGGAGTGTGAATGATTGGATGAAAGTGATATTCAGTCAGTGATGAATCATCAATCTGCCTTGGACAAGGAGATGATGCTGGGACTTTTGTTTGGTGCTGTTCTAATGAAACGTATAAAGATGACTGCCTGAAGAAAACAATGAAATTTCCCAACTCGTTAATGAAATGGGGTTGCAGCGTGTCAGGTAAAGGACCAGGGGAAATGGCAATCCTACCTTAACAGTCAGTGCACAGGTGCACACTGAAATTTTGGACACTTTTCGCATTCCATCGATAGAAAAGAAGTTTGGTGACGATGTCATTTTTCAGGATGATAATGCATCTTGCCACCGAGCAAAGAGTGTTAAAGCTTTTCTTCAGGAAAGGCATATCAACTCAATGACATTGCCGGATCTTGATCCAATTGAAAATTCATGGTGGAAATTGAAAAAAACTAGTCCATGACCAGGCTTCATCTTGCAAAGCTGATCCGTCAACCGCTATTCGAGAAAGTTGGAACCAGCTTGATGAAGAATATTGTTTTTCATTAGTGAAGTCCACGCCCCAAAGTATTCAGGCCATCATAAAAGCCAGAGGAGGAGCAACAAATTAATTGTGCTTTTTGGTTGATGATTCCATATTTTTTCCCTCTAGTTATGGAAAACAGTTTTCCTTTAATTTAATCTCATTTTTTTTAGGTATGTTTCACATAACCAGAATGGTGAATTATTAAACAAAAATGGTTTTGTGTCATATCTGTGATTTGTTTATTTATGAATTAAAACATTTGTGTGAGCATCTAAGTGTGGTGATTCCATAATTTTTGCCAGGGGTTGTACCATGATACCACATCCAAAAAAAGTAGCCACATAGGTACTCCGTGTACCATACCATAGTACTTTTTGGTAGTACAGTACTAGTAGTTTTGACTGATTAAACTGGTTTAGATATGTATGTTTTCAAAGTGACAGATTAATTTCATGCATACTTTGGTAACACTTTTTTTACACATTTTTATGCATTATAATTACTCACTGTAGTAAATTAAACTATAGTAACTGTAAATTGTGTAATTACAATCAACTAAACCAAACTCAACTCTATATTAAGTACAAATTGTTAATTAATATTACTATGTAATTAAACTGTAACAGGACCCCTGAAAATAAATTGAAAAAAAGTGTAACCCATACTTTAAATACAGTAATTAAACACATATGGAGGTGTTAAAGTTAGATTACATGCTTAGTAGGTTTAATACTAATATAATAACTTGATTAATAATTATAAGTAATAAAACATTGGGTTTTATTAGTTTATGTTAATTCTTTCAGTGAAGTATAAAATGAACCCATCTTTTTTTCTGGCAGGTGAAGAAACTTGGAATCGTTGCAGTCAGTAAGTACGATTCAGTACATTTATTTTACAGTACAGTGGATTTTCTGCGAATCCATGATCAAATAGTTATAGTTCCCATATGCATTTGATTAAAACAGTTGTAATAACCACCCGTATAGGTAATGCCCTCCCAGAAGACATTTCATCCCTGGCGGCAGATCGTATGCTTGTCTATGCTGCATTTGGAAAACTTATATCTGCTTTTGCAAAAAACAAAGAGGTAAAGCATAATGTGTTACAGTTAGACACATACTGTGTTCTTAAAGATGCATAACACTAAAGAGACTTAGATTAAATAAAAATTAGTTAGAAGTAATAATATGTCTTTTTGTCTCTTCCATCCAGGTTGTTCACACATACACAGGCCATCAAGCTGATGTGCACTTACTGTTGCCTTTCGGAGATCATCTGATTTCTGTTGACAAGGACAATGTTGTCATTATTTGGGATGTGGAGTCTGAGGGTTGGTTTGTTATAGGGCTGGACAATAATTCAATATCAATATGTATTGCGATATAATTTTTTTCAATAACGGTGATATGATTTTTAAACACATTTCCGATATTTCGATATACATTACCAGTTTCCCATACATTTATTTATTTGTGGCGTTTGACTTCATTGAATAAATATGAGCACTGCACGTTTCAAAATCAAAACACGTCGCGGGTGTTTTATATGAATGTATCTCTGAAGGGAACTGACTGTCTTCAGAATAGTTTAGATGGCATTTTTATCTGAATTATATCGTATCGACCGAAATTAAGAAATATATTGTGATACAAATTTTGGCCATATCGTCCAGCCCTAGTTTGTTATTATTTTTGCTAGACTTACATTTATTTCTTGCAGAAGAAACAAGGATATCTTCACAGTGTATGTAATATATTTTGTCTTTTTCACATTGCAGACACATATCTGCAGATTTCATATGACAAAGCATCATTTGAAGTCTCTGCTTTGATGCATCCGAGCACCTACCTGAACAAAATCCTGTTTGGAAGCAGTCAAGGGAGTCTTCAGTTATGGAACATCAAATCAAAGTATGCACTTCTAATGAAAGCTGAGTGTACTTGATGGTCTTTGTGGCATTTAAAGTGACTTTTGAAAGAATGAAGATTCTTTTTTGATTATTTGTATGGGTTATAATGACATTACAGTAAGCACATTTTGTATAACCATAGTGTTTTTCATTAATACCATTAATAAAGTTACAAGAATACTATGAACGTACCATTTTTTTAAATTAAAATCAGCATGATTAAAGCCAGCACACCAAATGCTGCTATGATGTATATTACTTTTCAAAAATAAATAAATAAACAATGCTTTAATTTAGCAAGGATGCATACAATTGTCAAAAGTGACAGTAAAGACATTTCTAATGTTACAAAAGATTTCTATTTCAGATATTACTTTTCAAAAATTCAGCTTTGCCATCACAGAAATAAATTACATTTTATATTACATTAAAATGTTAAAATATTTAAATTATATTCAAATAACATTTATTTTAGAATTAAAAAAAATATATTTATTAGAATTTCTTAACAGAATTTTTGAGATTGAACTTCTATGTTAATTATGTAGCGGTACATATAATGTAGTACAGCAAATGTTGTTTGATAATCGAAAAATTGAAACCGAATTCTGCTTTTCTTACTCCAGCAAACTCTTGTTCACATTTCCTGGATGGGCATCTGCTGTTACTGTTCTTCAACAGGTTAGTCCTATTACTTTCTTTATTTTATTCTTTACCCTGGGTACATTTAAGAAATACACATATGTGTGATCTAACATTATCGAGCATATCACAAAAACACACCCATAGAGTGCACGCATACTCTGTGTGATTTACATTTAGTCATTTAGCAGACGCTTTTATCCAAAACGACTTACAAACGAGGACAATAAAAGCAGTCAAAACTAACAAAAGAGCAACAATATATAAGTGCAAATGACAAGTCTCAACGCAGTACACGTAGCAAGGTATATATATATATATATATATATATATATATATATGTTATACACACACACACAGAAAAACAAGTAGATAGAATAGAAAGCTTTTTTTAAATAAAAAAAAGAAGATAAATAGATAAAGTAGGCAAACATTAATGCCTTGAATTTAATGCGAGCAGCTACTGGTAGCCAGTGCAAATGGATGAACAGAGGTGTGACATGCGTTCTTTTCGGCTCATTAAAGATTAATCTTGCAGCGGCATTTTGGATTAATTGTAGAGGTTTGATAGAAATGGCTGGAAGACCTGCCAAGAGAGCATTGCAATAGTCCAGCCTGGATAGAACAAGAGCTTGAACAAGGAGTTGTGTT